CTCTTTATGAATTCTTACCTATTCACCAGCCAGCCCCTGGGACAGCCCCACCCAACTACATTCTGCTCAGCCCTGCTGGCTTCTCCTTCCTTTCTGGGGGGAAGAACTTGGGGTTGGGCTTTGAGACGCCACATCACCGGCTCCCTCCTTCTCAGGAGCCCAGCACTGGGACCTGGCCCTCTCGGTTCATCAAGTTTCTGTCTCTGGAATTCAGACCCAAACAGCAGTGTTGATGTCAAAGCCTGAGGGTGAAGGTTCCAGGGCCTTGGGGCAACTCGAAGAGGGATTTTCCCCTCTGGGCTCTGCGCTGCCTGGGAAGGGGAAGTGTCCGGAGCCCTTGGGATGGCTCCGCTTCTTGACCTTCTGAGAACGTCCAGCTCGGCACTCAGAGGCCGTGGGTGTCACCCAGCCCGGTTTCTCCTTCAGCAGCCGGTCCCGATCAGGGCGCACGCTCCGCAGGAACTTCCGGAAAATGTTTGCGGTTAGGGCAAACTTGCGGCCCAGCTCCCGGGGCTGGCCCTTCTCTCCTCTGGGCTCCTCTGCACAGCCAGTCTCACCCTTCTCCCCACCCTTCTCCAGTTCTGGCAAGTCCAGCCAGTTGCCCACTAGATCTGCAAAAATGTTGTCTCCTAACACCAGAGGCTGTCGATTCCGGCCGCGGGACATGAGTGTGGAGGTCCAGTCATCAGGCTCTACCTCGGGCCCCTGCTGGGCACAGCTTTGGCGCTCCGACAGCTGTGTCCTGGGCAGTGGGGCTAAATCCCTCCCCCAGACGCTTCTGTGAGATGCAGACTTGGTGTTGCTGCCAAGAGAAGGCTGGCCAGAGGGGGAGCAGGTTGCAGACCTGGTCAGACCTCCTCCACCCTCCCATTGAGGGTGCTCGGACTGTGTCCGGGGACTTTCAGGGCAGCCTGCAGCAGGACCCCCTCCAGAGATCTCCAGTTGTTCCAGTGCTGTCTGCACCTGTAGGAGCTTCAGTTCTTGCAGTGCACCCATCATGCAGTTCATCTGATCCTGTAAGCCATCACCCACTTCCTTCATGGACAGCTGCAGGGACAGAGAAAGCACAGGGCCCATGAGCCTCAGGGGCAGCAGGGAAGGTTGCCCCTCCAGCCCTGAACCTACAATCGATCATCTCCCCATCAAAACACACTTGCAGTGTCACCCTGGCCGGTGTCTGTCCTAAGCACCATCCATATGTGTGTTTGTGTGTGTATAGAATGAGGCAGACTTGTTCCCCTCCCAAGGCTGGAGAGTAGAAGGTGGAGGTGAGATTGGTACAAGGGTGCACAAAGCTGTGGTGGCCATCCTTGTCCTGTCTCATGTCTGTGCCCTCTTCCTCCCCAAGCCTCCCTGAGATGATGGTGGCAATACGATGTATGAGCATTGATAGAAGTAAATTCATCTGTAATAGAAATCATGCAAAGTACTCTATGTACATCATTTCTTTTCATCTTTTCATTTTAATAGCCAGAGGGCACGTGCACTTGCCAGAGAGAGAAGCACCCCCCAGCGGGGGTATGGCCATACTGCAGTCCTTTTCCTCTATTTCTTATGCCCTTAGGACTTGGGGCATCCACATGTGAACCTGGCATGGTTTTCGGGCCACTGGGGCCAGAATTCAAACCGCAGCCAGCCACGTGGGATCCAGCTCCCTGTGTACAAGATTTAACCACTACACTAGAGGCCGGCTCTATTTTAATCTGTGTATGGGCTTGCTATTATTGTTCTCATTTTAACAAATGAGGAAACTATGGTGGGGCGAAGTAACTCAGCCAAGGTCACGCAGCTCATAGAGTTGGGACTCGAACATAGGCAGTCTCCCTCCAAGTGCCGTAGTCCCAACCACCAAATGGCTTGGCAGGGGGCGGGGGGGGGAGGATTCAAGGCTACTCTGTCCTCTGCAGAGCAGTGGGGAAGGGTTGAAAGGACATTAGGGGGTGAGGAGGCGTTCAGATCTCCCAAGAGAAGGATAGGCTGGCCTTTCCTTTCACACTGACTGGTCAGGAGAGAGGAGGAGGCCAGGAGACTCCTGCTTCCTGGACACCTTGCCCCCTCTTCTCTGCCTGTCTGTGCCTCCCAAACACCTGTCCTCTCAGCCGCTCACACACTTGGCTCCAACACTCCTCCTGCCTTCTCAGCCCAATTGGCTCTGCTGCCCTGGCCATGCCAGAGTGGGAAGACTGGGGGCCAGCCTTCCCAGCCCCTTTGTGGGTGTCTAAGGCCTGAGTCCCAGGTGCCAGCTGGAAGGGACTGAGAGCCTTGGGTGAGGGCCGGATGTGGGGGCTGGGCTGGGGAGGCTGGGTCTGATAACATTCACAAGGTTCCCTCCTGTCCTCGGGCCCAAGCTGCCTCAGTCCCGCCAACTCCCTCCCCAGATCCTGTTACCAACAGTAAACCCATGTGTAGGGACCATCTGTTTCTTAAGCCCCCCTGAGACCCACAGGATCATCTTACCTCCCAGCCCTGTCTTAATGCACAGAGCTCAGTCCGGTGGGTGGAAGGCAGAGGGACTGCTAGGCCAGGCTTGGGCTGTGCAGGGCTGACTGGCAGCTGACCCTCTCAGGCTTCTGGGTCGAATCCTCCCCTGCAGGGATGGGGGATCAGGCCCAGGCTCAGTGAGCCAGCAGCATGAAAGGACAGTGGAGGACTGACTGTCCCTGGGGACAAGGAGGCCTTTGCCGGGGTGCGGGGATTGCCCACACTTCGTGCACCTTTGCCAAGACAGGGCAAGAAGTGGTGGTTTGAGACTCTGCCAGCCTGGGGACTTGCTTGGCAAGTGTACACCATCAGAGTGTGGTAGCCTCATCAGCGGCAGCAGGGCACCGCCTGTGCATGCTGTCCCCCGGCCCTAGCCTCTTAGCCTTCCCCTTCTGGAGCCCTGCCTTTCAGAGGGTCCGCGCTGCCGCTGCAGCAGTCAGAGACTGAGCCCTAAACCAAACTGTTTCTCCCTTCGACTTCCTATTTTCCCCCAGTGCCACTCTCCTTGTCACCCCTACCTGGAACTTCAGAGTCTTTTTGGCTTCTCCAACCACCCTTGCTTCTATCCAACTTCACCATTCACCCTGTTGGAGTCCTCCTCCCCAGATGTCTCGCATCGTTCTTCCCATCCCCTGGGGTGGTCCAGAAGGCCCCTAGAAGGCCTGCCAGTCACCAGGCCCACGAGTGTCTGATTCATCTTCACAACACACACCTGTGATCATCACTCAGGTGCTCCCCCTGGCCAGAAACAAACTCAAATACAAACGATCAGGTCCTGCACTCAAAACCTTCGACAGAATTCCAGACCTTAATTTCAGGCATATCCCTGCTCCCTTGCACATACCCACCATTCTCCTGTTAGAACGTCTTCTGTGACACTTCATATCTCCCCTGGAGTCTTGCTTCTTATGTACTCGCCCTGAGAACTCTGTGAGTTTAAATGGTCAGTCATTCATGAAATATTTATTGGGCATCTATTCCTTCAGCACAGGGGCTGAGATGTACGCATTGGTGTGCCATTCCAGAACCTACCCAAGGGGGCCAGCAGGTGGCATGGTGGTTAAGAGTGCTGGACTCCCAACATGGCCAACTACAGTTCGAGTCCCACACCTGGCAGCTTGCTTCTCACTTTCCCTCTCTGTCTCTCTCTCTCACGCTGTCACTCTAAAATAAGCAAATGTGTACATAAAATTAAATAAAAATAATTATTAAAAAAAAAGCTCTCTGGACCAGCAGTTGGCGTAATGGCTATGTCACTGGATTCCCATGTAGTCGGCTGTGGTTCGCTTCCTGGACCCGGTGGCTTAAACTCACGCCAGGCGCGTGTGCGTGCGTGCCCAAAATCCTGAGAGGAGAATGGAGGAGAAGGAATTGTGGCGTGGCCATCCCCCCCACACACCTGGAGGGTGATTTCTTGCTTTCTATCTCTCTGCCTCTCTCTGTCTGTCTGGGGAGCGCATGCGCCCTATAGCAAAAACGTCTGCAAAAAAAAAAGTTGTTAAAAAAAAAGAACCTACCCAACACCTAGCACTTGCTACATACCCACAGAACATATATCAAGTACTTGACTACCCCCAAATCCTTCCAGACTCCTGGCTACCTTCAGACAGTACCTCGCTATATAGGGAGACAGAGTCAGAGCCATTTCTCAAGGTTCCGTTTCACCAAGAGGCGTGGAGGCTAAGCTGGTAGGCTTCCTTCCAGAAGGCTAAACACAGTCCAGGTCAGAGGCAGTGGGAGGAATGAAATGACCCCATTCAAGCTCTCCCAGTGTGGAAAAATCCATAAGAAATAATGCTGACATTTTGTACAGTTTTCCAGTGGGAACGAATGTGTGGGTATACATGAATTCAGGGCTGCCCATGAAACAGAGGTCCCATTTAAGTATACAAGGGCTGAAATTGCACCCATTTAAAAAATAATATTCGGTATTGGTTAAGAACTTGGGTCCTGCAGACAAAGGACAGGGCTCCAATACTACTAGCTCTGCCATGTAGTAACTATGTGACCTGGGTTATGTAAATCCTGTTTTTCGACTTTTCCATCCTTTAAAAGGGAGTCATAGTTCCTGCTCTGTGCAGCTACTGTGCAGGTTTACCATGGGGTCAAGTCTATCTGTGCACGGCCAAAGCAAGCATTAGGTGAATATGGCAGCCACGGAAGACATCTCTGTCCTTCCAGATTTCTTCTTCAGTGAAATGTAACACAGAGCTGTTGCAGGTTCCATCCATTGTTCCTGGTCTAAAAAAGGAGAAACGTGTCTCTTGTCCTGTCCCTCTCCCCCAACCCCTGCCCCATGTAGGGGAGGGGAGAGGAAGGAAATGGAAGCCGAGGCCACCTCTCGCTCACTCCCAGGCAACCTCCGTCAGCCCAGCTGACAGCGAGCTGACACCGAGGGCAGCTGGGAGAGGGCTGAGAGTGGAAGGGTGCCAAGCTGTGGGAAATGGGAGGGCCAGGGACAGTGGGAAGGCAGGAGCATCAGCTGGCCTTGGCCAAGAAGGGAGCCAACGGGCCCTCATTTCCTGACTGACCCCAAGGGGATGATGTCACCCCAGGAGAAAGAGCCAGAGGCCAAGCTGCTCCCTTCATCCAGAGCGTGGGACATCCTCAGATCCCAGGGCTTCTCTCACCTCAGGAACCCAGGGGGGAGCAGCGTGGGTTGGGAGCAAAGGAGAAGGGCCAGCTCAGAAGAAAACCCTGAGCTGGAAATGAAAGGTGCCAGGCTGGAGGGAACAGAGTTCTCTAGTCTCCTGGTATCTCGGCGTTTCAGGTTCTTGCTCAGGACGGGACCACCTCATACCCCACTTGCTCTCAGGGGTCAGCTGGAGGTCCTGATTAGTTCGAATGGGACTGGATCTAACAGCCACCTACACACACACACACACACACACACACACACACACACACGGCTAGCCTGCTCCATCACCAAATATAAAGCCTTTAATAAGCATCTCCCAGTGGAGGTCATGGGAATTCCTTCTGGGAAGGGCCATGAAAGGTCTTCCCACTACCCTCACACCACCCACAGCCTGTCTCCCACCCCCGCGCCTCTTGGGCCTGCAGTGCTCCTTTCTGAACATTTTCTGCATGTCAAGCGTTCATCTGTCTGGCTGCGGTTCAAACCAGCCCATGGACTGAGTATGTTAGAACTGCTGGCCACAGAGCCCTCCTGGAGTTCCCGAAGGGCTCCTCTGTACTGTGGACTGGAGATCTGGCCTGGAGTCCCAGCTGACCCACTTGGCCACGTGACAGCAGGTGAATTTGCTGGATCTAACAGCCACCTACACACACACACACACACACACACACACACACATACACACACACACACACACACACACACACACACGGCTAGCCTGCTCCATCACCAAATATAAAGCCTTTAATAAGCATCTCCCAGTGGAGGTCATGGGAATTCCTTCTGGGAAGGGCCATGAAAGGTCTTCCCACTACCCTCACACCACCCACAGCCTGTCTCCCACCCCCGCGCCTCTTGGGCCTGCAGTGCTCCTTTCTGAACATTTTCTGCATGTCAAGCGTTCATCTGTCTGGCTGCGGTTCAAACCAGCCCATGGACTGAGTATGTTAGAACTGCTGGCCACAGAGCCCTCCTGGAGTTCCCGAAGGGCTCCTCTGTACTGTGGACTGGAGATCTGGCCTGGAGTCCCAGCTGACCCACTTGGCCACGTGACAGCAGGTGAATTTGCTGACCTCTTGTGTGATAACCCCTTACCTGGGTGTGGCATTTGCCCTTTCCTCTAGATTGCCTGACCCCCACAAGTACTCTGGGAGGCTGGCTCGGCAGCGGGAGTTTTCCCCACCTCATGGACTGGGAAACCATTTGAGAGGTTCCTCAGCTCCCTGCTTCCCAAACATTCTTCCCATACCTCCTTCATGATGTTCTCCACATCCACATATGACCTGTCTCCTGTTTAGTATCTTATTTAAATCTACCGTTTATGTAAGTAGATATATTTATAAAGGAACTGGTGTGAAACATTCAGCACTTGCCAGAGACAGATGGTGACCATAAATATATATGCCATCTTGACAACCACCCACAATGCTGACTGGCAATGCTGACCTGTCACCCAACGTCCTCAGGCCTGTTACTGGGAGAACTGGGATCTCCAGGCTGGCCCTCTTACTCCAGTCCAGTGGGCTGGCCATGGCATCATAATTCCTGACCTCACAGCTTCACGGGAGTGTTGTGAGAAGAAAGCAGGAGAGGCAACCGGAGGTGCATAGCGCAGTTGTCCCATATGGGGAGGAAGAGCATGAAGTCATCCCAAGACCCAGTTCAGTTCCTTCCTGAATCATCTGAAGAGGGAAGAGGAACTTGCCACCTGGGGCTAGAAGGGAAACCGGCATTGGAAAGACAGATCCCCCTCCTGGACCTGCAGCCCTGAGCCCCCGCGAGTAGGAGGTAGTGTGGGGTCCACTGTTCCCAGATAGCACCCTCCTCCTTGGCACTTGCTGGGCCTTCTGTGGGGTAGAAGGAGCAGGGATAGGAAAAGGTGCCGCCAGCAGGCTCAGCTCCCTTCCCCAGCCTCCCCAGGCCCCTGACTGATCCCACAGCTGTGCCCTCCATCCATCCATCTCACGCCCTCTCCCAGCTCAGCCGGAGTCCTTCGACACAGGCTCAGCTTTGCCCATGGACCTGGCCGTGTGCCCTGCCTCCTGGCCCACCCCCACCCCTCATTACTCACAAGATCCCCATACAGTTCCTTTCAGCCCCTAGAGAAGCTAAGAGGAGGCTGAGGTCCGGAAATGGGAAAAGCCCCACTTTTGCCAAGTGGCCCATTCTCCAGTTCAGTGAATAGGGACCTTCACAGCCCCCTGCTCTTGGCTGAAACTCTCAACAGGAAGGTAAAGTGGACAGGATGCCAAAAGCTAGACGAGGGGGGTGGGTAAGAGAGGAGGAAGAGAGAGATGTGAAACGGATGAACCCGCTTTCCCAAATGAGCCAGCTTGGGGTGGGGGTTGTCACATGCTCAGATGCAGAGGGGCCCAATGTTGTCTCATTGGAGGGACTTGCCTCTTAGCATCATCAGCGAGCCTTGCGAGCTTAATTCTTCTCCATGCAGTCAATCAAATTCCTTGGAA